GCTCTGTTCACCCAGTTAAATAATTCATCGGTCATCTGGCGTCACCCGACAGCTGGATGGTGTTTCATCTCTACCGAGACCCAATCCCCACCGGTGAGCGCAGCCACGTGCCTATGCGCACCCCAAAAGAGGTGAGGTCCCCGCGGTGCACACCGGCAGGTACCGGACGCTCATCCCATCGCATCCCTCCTCCCCAGTGCCTGCCGCCACATCTCGGCTTCTCCCTTACCTGCTTTCTCCAGGTTCATGGTGGAGGCTGCCTGCACCAGTGTGGCAGCTGCTGGCTTGCAGGGGGTCACTGGCAGCTCCTCCATGGCTGGTGTCGGGGCCTGGTGCCGGCTCTCCTCCTGCCGCTCGCCTGCCGTCTCCTGCAGGGCCTGCGTCTGCGAGAAGAAACAGGACGGAGAGCTGAGATGCAGCAACTGTGCCCATCGTGGTGGACACAGTACCGTCAGCCAGCATTTCACCGGGCTGGCCAGGAGGAGTGAGCAGGGAGGAGGTTGCAGAGGACAGTGGGACCCAAGGAAACCCTCCAAACAAGGGATTTTGGTTTTGGGAAGCTGCTGCCATGCACTTACTGTGTTGCTTTTAGTTCTCCCCATAAACAACTCCTTCCCTCAGCTTGGTCATGCAGATATACTGAATATTACCTATTTTTCTCTCTATGGCCTTAAAAAAAAGAGACCCTGGCTTGGCCAGCAGGGTTGAATGCGAAGTTGCTCGCTGGTGAGCCATGGCTCAGGTAATGCCATGCCCCATGGAATGGAGCACAGCTCCGAAAAAAAAAAAAAAAACCCAGAGAAAAAAATCTGGAAGGAGGAAAAGGAATATAGAGAAGGTCCCAAATTTCTGTATTTACCATATTTATCACTGGCTTGCAAAGAAAAAAAAGAAACTGTTATTTTTTATCAAGCACTATGGCACAGATACTTTTGGAAAGCTGTGCTGCTGATCAGCTGAGTCCATAGAATTGCTCCTCGCCCTGCTCAAAAGTGTCTTTTCTTACTTATTATCTTATCTCAGAGCCCATGGCATCACCCCCCGGGCCAGCAATGCCGGGGAAACCCATCTAACCCCAGGAGAGGGGCGAATACTTGCTACATGCCAAGTATTTCTGAGAATAATTGGGAAGGAGGCAGTGGGAACATCCTCCTGGAGAAGCCACGTGTCTGCGGTGCCTCTGGTGTCTGCGGTGCCTCTTCGTTTGAGATTCCGGGAGGGTTTTGCCAGAGGGAATTCATCAAGGTTGGTGTGAGATAAGAAGGTGTTTTCCTTCTTTTCAAAGAAGGGGAATTTAAATGATTTGCCCGAAGCCCAGAATGAACTGGTGGCAGCAACACCATTACACGGTGTCCTGACACTGTCCCTGGCCGCGGTAGCCTTTCTCCTCCTCCTCCTCCTCCATCCCGTTAGCAAACACCATCTCACAGTGCTGCATTTTCTCATCACCCTTCTGCCTTAAGCTCTCCTGCCCATCTGACCCAGAAATGACCCAGAAACTGTTATTCTGGGCTGTTCCCCAGCATTTTTTTGATGCCTTCTGACTTCCCGGAGATGCTCTTCCCTCCCCACTCAGGCAGCAGCTCCGCGGAAACCAGCTGTGGTGATGGGAGGGGGACCATCCAGCTCCGCCCCGAGGGATGGCCCAGCAGGGTGCGGGGCATCCTTCTCACCAGGCCAAAAAACGCCCTCCCCACCCGAGCCGCAGCCTCACCTGGAGAGCCAGGCAGAGCCCACCAGCTTCTGCAGTGTCTGGCCAGCTCACGCCAAGGATTTTATGGTGAACCAATGTAGGCAGCAGAGGAAGCTGGGGAGAGGCACCCACTCCGCTCCTGGTGACCAGTGTGTCCCACCCACGGCCTGAGATGGAGTGAAA